AAAATCAAGTGGCAAGGCTCACTGAAGTATTATAATTTTCTCAGTTTCTACTCTAACGTTCCCATGCTCCAGACATTTTCATGACCACTGCTATTTCCTACAAAGGGATAGGGATGAGGGAGGAAAGATGTAAGAAGGCAAAGTTCATAATCCTATCATCTCTCTTATTTCCAGAGGCAGTGTGGAATAGTAGAAACATTATGATCTTAGAGTCAGAGAACCCCTGGAATTAGGGCTGGTGTTAGGGTGACCTTGGGTAAGTTACTTTTAACTCTTTGGACCTCAAATGCATCACGTAGAAAATGGGGATAATATCTACTACAAATAAAACAGGGCCTTACAGTTTGCACTCCTGTACTTTTTCACAGAGGCTTCATCTTATTCCTCCTAGTGTTATTTTCCCTTAAGCAAGAGGTTTTAAAATTTTAAAGTTTAAAGATTTTCTCATTAATTAAAAAAAATCTTACTGTAGTTAACCTATTTTTGCAATTGCCTTAACTTCTATTCAGAATAAGATGAGATACATATAAAGAGATGAATACAATATAACTATCCCATTTACTTGACAGAAGGCTTGAAAGTATTTTGTAAACTGTAAAATGTTACACATTTTCCCTCGTTCCTATATGTCATTTTTACCTGAGGGACTCATAAAATCTCTGTTCCAGTGCCTTCCTCTTTCCATCCTGGACCTATTCATGTTTCATGCTAATGTGTGACAACATGTTCAGTAATTTATATTTTGAATTTTCTTTTCTTTTAAATGAAGTATGCATACAAAAGACTACACGTAATTTAAATAATAATGATAAAATACCTAACACCAGCTTAAGAAATAAACATGCTTTCTCCAAGTTTTTAGACAGAGCACATATCCTTGTGAACTAATGTTTGATCTCCTCTCATCATTTTCTAAAAAAATATTTTGTGCTCATGTCTGCAGCTGGGCCATCATTTATGAGATTCACCTCATCGGTCTCCTATCCAAATCCTACCTTCTTTATGGCTTTTTTCCTAACTATAATCATGAAATTTGGTTGCTGGCACACTTGGCATTTAATCTCTTCAATTTACTGATAGGAAAATTAAAGCCCAAGAAAATGAAGTGGCTTACTCAAAGTCAGGCAGCAAGTGCACAGCAGAAGCAGGATCCTGGTTTCCTAATAATTTATGATCAATTTAGCCTATATTAATCTCCTCGAATATTCATATGGAACTTACCGTATATAATCAATAATTGGGCATTTAATTATATACTATCTGACATTGTTCGTTACTGTTTCATGAATGTTAGTTTTGTTTTTTCAAGTAATCTGGAAGTTCCTTTTCGGTAGGGATTATATCTTAAATCTCTGTATCCTCCAGCGCCCAAGACTTCACATTTTTATAAGACTTGTACCTACAAGATGCCAGGTACTGGACCAATCACTTTACATTTTTTTATTTTATCTTTGCAAAAATTCCTGCCAGGTAAGTGTTATTATCCCTATTTAACAAATAGAAAACTGAGACTCCAAGACCTTAAGGAACCTCCCAGCATGGCATTGCCATCCAATCCTGGAGCCAGAGTTCATATTCAACAGTTTGACTTCAAAGAACATGTGTGCCCATTCAACCAGGTTGCTTCTTTGTGAAAAAACCTAGAAGGTGAAAGGGTAGTTGTTGGATACTATTTTACAGATAAGGAAAGAGGGTCAGAAATGCGAAGGGACTTTCCCAAAATCCCACAGCTGGTAACAGCAATGTTAATGTTCAGATGTCAAGTCCAGTGCATCATTTATGATACCACAAAATTCTCAAATAAATGTCTGACTTGTTGATTATCATATGAATAGATATCTTCTCTTACTGAAGAATTGCTAATTACTCTTCATTTTTAGTTTTTAAAATTATACAAAAGTACCACCCAAGGATTTAAGTTTTAGGTTTATAGTACAACAATGTAAACTTAATACTCCCTTAATCACCACTATTGGTTAACTGTGGGCAACAGAATATGGCTAATCAAACAGTAGAGACCTAAGTCCATGAATCTTCTTTAAAAGATCTGATAAAGGCAAACGGTTGGCATAAAAATGAAGTGAAATATTCCCTGTAGCTATCAGTTAACAATAAAAAGCTGGAAAAAATATGTTGCAAAAAAAAGAATAAACAACTGATGGCAAACCAAAGAAGAATAGAGGAGAGAGTATTTGCTTTATTTCATTGCTATTTTTTCTCCATCCTGTCTCTAGAATTGCCTTCTCTTACCCATTGCTTAGTTCAGACCCTTATTATATCTTACTCAGATTAGTGCAATAACCTAAATAGTCTTTTTGCCTTCAGTCTTTTCCCTCCAATCCACCTGAAAGTCACACTAACCTTCCTAAAACGCAGGTCTGAGTAGGTCATTTTTAAAATAAAACATAGTTAGTGACTCTTTGCTGGGTATAGAGTAAAGTCCAAAATCCTTAGCTTGGCAACTGGAGTCCTCCCAAATATGGTGCCAAGTTTATTTTCCAATTTAATCTTGCCTTATCTCCCTCCACAGGCACTACACTTCAGTCATTAAACTACTCATTGCTCCCAGAACACGCTTCATACTTCCATATCTCCAAGTCTCTGCTCAGCCTAGAATACTCTGTTCTTTTTCTGAGGCCCAGATTAAATGGAACCTCCCCCATGAAGCCTCGTGATCTTAATTTTGGGAATGGATAGCTCAGTCCTCTACGTTCACAATAGTTTATTTGACTCTTACAGTAAGCAAAATTCTCACAGCATGTCATCTATACTGTTTTAATAGCACTTACCACTTTCTACTCATTATTAACTGAACTTCTCTGTGAACTTGGTATTAGATACTTCTCATTTTTTCTGATTCGTTTTCGAAAACTCCACAGTGCCTACCGTGCGACTAGCACATAGTAAGTATTCAATATGTATTTGTTGAACGACTGAATTACAGCATTTTGTTGTCATTGTTCTTTATATTTTAATTTGATGTTTTCAAAAAATTTTTCTTGATAGGCTACTCAAGGACAGGTTAGTTTTTATTCATCTTTGACTCTCCATTATTCCTGGCCCAACAATGTTTACATGACATATGCTTAATTTTTACTGACTCAAACAAGTATGATTTGATAAATAACCCCACTATCCAAAATGTGTTTATGTGAACACTTGACCTGGATGAAGAAATAACACAGTACCCTTGGAATACTTTCTTTATACAGAAATGAAATCTTGGCCTTCTGGATCCTTACAGAGGGATCCTTCTCTTCTCTGAAAACATATATTACTAACTCACTACACCACTCAGTTGGCACCTAGCATGTATTATCTTGTACTGTCAGTAAAGTTTATATCTGCAGTCTCTTTCCTCAGGTATAATGTAAGCCAAAAGCAGAAATTACACTTATTACCTGAAGAAGCATGGTTTAATGAAAGGAGCATGAGTTTTGGTGTCTCAAGTCCTAGTTCTGCCATTTATCAACCATGTGACTTAGAAAGTATTCACTTCTTCTCTCTGAATCTCAGTTTCACTGTCTATACAACAGAGAAAAGATCTATCTTGCAGGGTTACTGTAAGGATTAGAAATAATATGTATAAACTGTTAGCACATGGTATATACTCAATAAAACGGTGGTTATTTAAAACCTCTTTGACTCTTCAGCAATTAGCAATGCCCAGGACATACTAGGTACACAGTAACACTTATTGCTAACAACATAACCACATGCTTATTAGACCTGCAGGTAAAATAATAAGACAAAAACATACCTGTTAGATAAGAGGTAAACTGCTTCGGACCACAGCGAATAGCATAACGTGTGGTTGTTCTCACAGCTTTTGGCTCAGGCTGCAAAGCATCCCGAGGACAAAAGAGGGTTCCATCTGATGTTTCTCCCCACCATCTTACTCGGACAAGTACACAAGTGGGAGGCTTTGCAATCTTCCATATGATTTTATTAATAGTAAGTTTCAGAAAGCAGCGTAGCTGGCCTTCAACCAGAGGTGGTAGACTTGTTGATGGAGAAATGTCACTCAAACCTGTGGAATAATCCAAGAACTCCGAGTCAAAACTTAGACTAAATACAAAAAACATGACTGCAAAACAACCAACCAAAAAACACTTTAGTTCCTACAGAGAGAAGGCTACTCCAATCAATGACAAGTAACTAGCAAACCAGGTCATGAAATAACCTATCTGGTCATTTAAGCCACCCTGATTGTTGCTGTTAGTTGCCACTGAGTTGATTCCAACTCATGGTGACCAAGTGTGCAGAGTAGAACTCCTCCATAGGGTTTTCAAGGGTGTGACCTCTCAGAAGACAGGCCTTACACTTTCAAGGTGCCTCTGGGTGGGTTTTAACCACCAATCTTTTGGTTAGTAGTTTAGTGAATAACCATTTGAGCTACCTAAGGACTCTAGCCACCCTGATAACCAATTAGTATTTACTTTTTGAGTCAGGTTATTCTAAGTAACGGACATATCAAATTAAGACATACCAATAGAAACTTCTCTTTAATTTAAAGATACTATTTTAAAAATACAAATATAATGATACAGGTTTTTAAAATCTCAGAAGTAGTTGAAATTTTTCCCCAAATACTGATGTTTTGCTTAAGGCAACATCCATAGTTTTTAAGATATGTATTATTTTTACCTAATTCACTTATTTAAAAAACCATGAACATAAAAGAGCAGCAACTCCCGTCACCAAACTCCCAAACAATTTAGTGTATACCACACAATTCAACATTTCAATAAAGACCATTTTAAACTGTGTCTTGTCTCTCCTACCATATCATAAAGTCAAGGAAGACAGAGACTATCATCTTTAGATTCTGTCACTACTTTTTAGCACATTGCTGGATTCACAATATTTATTGGCTTTCAGAAAGATAATAAAATGAGGCAATTAGTCATGACTTTCTATAAAGCTTTGCTTTAATGACCTCAATTGTCTTCCATTCACAGTACCATTTCACCATTTGACTTTGACTTTTCCTTTGAAGAATGGCCATGCCTCACAAGAAGAAAATAAACCAGAATCTAACAGATCAGGAATCTATACAAATAATTCTTTGGACTTCTAAAGCAAATATCTTTACTGCCCTTTATAATGGAAAAAGCCCCACCATAATCTTTATGGAGCCCTGGTGGCATAGTGCTTAAGAGCTTCGCTGCTAACCAAAATGTCAGCAGTTCAAATCCATCAGCCGCTCCTTGGAAACCCTATGGGGCAGTTCTACTCTGTCCTATAGGGTTGCTATGAGTCGGAACCGACGCAACGGCACCTAACAACAACAACATAATCTTTATGGATAATTAATTTCAATATAAAAATTATACACAGATGTGTACACGTGCATTACTGTATATGCCTCTGTTATAGCAAGAAAGACATTATTTTCTATACTATAGTTGTTATTTCTACTTTGATTTTTCTCTTACCAATCAAACGTGCTTGACTGATTTGACAAAGGGAGCACTGCCACTGAAAACCTCCATGACTCTGTCTCAGATCCTCCCATCATATTTGGCAGGAAAAGCACTGCTTCAGAACTGCCTTAAACCAAACCAAACCCATTAACGTTGAGTTGATTCTGACTCACTGAGACCCTATAGGACAGAGTAGAACTGCCTCCTAGAGTTTCCAAGGAGCAGCTGGTGGATTTGAACTGCCGACCTTTTGGTTAGCAGGCATAGCTCTTAACCACTACACCACCAAGGTTTCCTCAGAACTGCCTTAGTTATCTTTGAACAGCTTGGATAAGATTCTTTTTCCCATACAGTAGCTTCAGCCTTCAACCCAATGGCCTTAATGTACTATCACTGTTCCTAATACCCTTTCTTCTTATGCTATTCGCTGTGGTCCGAAGCAGTTTACCTCTTATCTAACAGGTATGTTTTTGTCTTATTATTTTATCTGCAGGTCTAATAAGCATGTGGTTACGTTGTTAGCAATAAGTGTTACTGTGTACCTAGTATGTCCTGGGCATTGCTAATTGCTGAAGAGTCAAAGAGGTTTTAAATAACCACCGTTTTATTGAGTATATACCATGTGCTAACAGTTTACACATATTATTTCTAATCCTTACAGTAACCCTTGTTGTTAGCTGCCATCAAGTTGATTCTGACTTATGATGAGCCCATGTGTGCAGGGTAGAACTGATCCACAGGGTTTTTTAAGGCTGTGATCTTTTTGGAAGCAGATGGTAAGGCCTGTCTCATGAAGTGCTTCTGGGTGGGCTGCAACCACCAACCTTTCAGCTAGCAGTTGAACACTTAACGATTTGCACCACCCAGGGGCTCCTAACGTGCCCATAATATAAAAAAAGGCACTTTTTTTTCTTGAAGGCAACCCTAGAGAGATCCAATTTCCAGTTTTCTGACCCACCCTGGGTTCCTAACGTGATTGTTCTCACTACAGCTAACGCATTCCTACCCTTTTGGCCATCTTGTTTCTCCATCAGTATCCTAACCTAATGAGCCCCTCTAGCATCACTGCCGCCTGCCCTCTAACCCTCTCCTTCCTAGCCACCTCATCTCCTTCAGAATATCCTCATGCCTTCACTCCCACTCCAATCCTACCACACCTTGTCACTACCTGGTTGCCATAAAGTGCAACCCAACTCATTGAGACCCTATTTTTTCACCTCATCACTACCCACTCTTCTCTCCCTCTCTTCCACAACTGTTTCCCAACTCCAGCTAGTAGGCCTCACTTGCTTCATTCATTCAACTAACATTTACTGAATCCTCCTTTGTGCTAGTTCTTGCCCACTGACATACTCACCTCTCCAACTTATATTTCCTCTGACCCCCTGAGGACCTCCAAAGTTATTACCCTTCTATACATCTACACACACACACACACACACACACACACACACACACAGCCCACTGACATACTCACCTCTCCAAATTATATTTCCTCTGGCCCCGTGAGGACCTCCAAAGTTATTACCCTTCTACACATCTACACACTACACACACACACAGCCCACTGACATACTCACCTCTCCAAATTTTATTTCCTCTGGCCCCCTGAGGACCTCCAAAGTTATTACCCTTCTACACATCTACACACACACACACACACACGACACACACACGTTTAACTGTTATCAAAAACACTCCTGGAATTTTTTGTTCCCCTCCCCTAAAGAGGTCCTACTTGTACCTTTTTAGCCCTCATCAGCCCACTCGTTCCCGTTTTTCGCCCCGCACCCCAGTGCCTATTTCTTTTTATTCTCCTTCTGACTCCCTAGTTATTCTCTCTTCTTCGTTCCTTCTTTCTCTTACATCCTGCTCCTTGCCCAAAGCCCGCTCGGTTACGCTTTCCTCAGCCTTTAGTCGCTCAGGTTACCTCTCTTTTTGCGGCCACGGCCGCCCCCAGGTCCCTGGCCTTTTCGTTGTTTCATGACGAGCCCGAGCTCTTTTTCACCAACTTAGCTCCGGACCCCGCACCATGTCCTATCCTCCCGCCATCCCTGCTCACGGCACCAGCGTTCCCCGGCAACCGGCGCCGCTGGGCAACCTGGGAGGAAGGAAGAGGCGACTCCTCCTTTAACAGTTTCTGGGAAGCCGTGAGGAAGGAAAGCGCCAAGACTCCTTCCCGGCAACAGACTACAACACCCAGGATGCTTTGCTATGCTACCTCGGCGGGATTGGAGGCGGTCCCCTCCCGCTGCGCAAGCGCGAAGGGCTAGGCCCTTAGATGACTCCATTGCCCAGGGTGCATTGCATTTAGGAGAGCTCCTCTTTCCGGCGAGAGTCGTCGAGTTCTCCACTTGGGGTTTGAGCTGTCCGCAGACTCCGTTACCCAGCTTCCTTTGTGGGAGTGCTGTTGCGCACTTCCGGTGGAGACGCTACGGAGAGGGGGTGGAGTTTGCGGAGCCGGTGGGCGGTAGGCGGTGCTGCCGGTAGCTGAGGGCTGTCTAAAGGCAACAGGGCGTCGCTAGGGAGTCATCTGTAACCGGTTGGGCCACACTTAGCGTGGGACGAAGCTTTGGCTGCTGTTTGACTACGTGCGGACTCGCTTTCATGTCGGCCCTCGAGAAGAGCTTGCACCTCGGTCGCCTGCCCTCTCGCCCTCCCCTACCCGGCAGCGGGGGCAGTCAGAGCGGAGCCAAGATGCGAATGGGGTACGTGACCCATACCCCTTCTCCCTAGAGGCCAGGCCCCGGCCATTGGAGAATGGCGTTTCTGAGCGTTTAGAGCGGCACGGGAGGAGAGACTAAGGATAGGGGAAAACGCTAGTAGCGGCCTGGCAGAGGTTTGGATGGAGTAGAAGGCAGATCTGAGGGACTAGAGGAGTCGCCAGGTCAATGGAAATTGGAGGACACCATCAGAGAGAGGCTTGAAGGAAAAATTAGGGGAATAGCGATGTTGAAGGGAAAGAGAATGAGGCAAAGATTAGGGAAACTGAGAAGATAATTTAAGGGTTGTGGGAGGCACCTCCAAAGGAAGGAATGAAAGAGGTATGAGGAATGGGATAGAGCCGTGACAGAGGTGGGGGGAAATCTGCCAGGGACTGTTGAAGAAAATAGGGAATGACTGAGAGAAAAGTTGAGAGGAATTGGGGGAACAACTAGGGAAAGGCTTGAGAGTAGTAAGAAGGCTGTGAGAACTAGATCTTAGAAAAGCTAAGCGGAGTAGGGAACACCTGAGGCAGGGTTGGGGAAGGAAAAAGGAGAGAGCTCAGGAGCAGAAGGTTCTAGACAGAGTTCTCAGAGGTGTAAGAGACAGATTCAGGGAGTGAGGGGTAACTAAGAGATTAGGTCTCTTAAGGGTGAACTGAAGAAAGCTTGGCGAATAGGCCTAAGGAAGGATAGAGAATATAGCCAGGAAGATTGTTAAGGGTAATAGGAATGTTTTTGAGAAGCTGGAGTGATAAGGGAAGGAGTGATGAGGGAGAGGTCTGAGGAGTTTAGAGAGTGACTGTGGGCCCCTAGGGATTGAGAAATGACTAAGAATAGGGTTTAGTGAATGAAAATGATGCAGAGGCAAGGTCTGGGAAACTTTAAGAGAATGATTTGAACAGTTGATTTTTGCTGGACAAATAGGTTTGAGGGAAGCTACGTACTGGCCTTATAATTGTCAGAGAAGTCATGAAGCATTGGGAGTAGCCACTTATAAGAAAATATTTGGGAAAAACAGTTTGATTGGAAGGGGTGGAGCCATGCGGAAGGGATAGGCTTTGGAATTTAGGTCGTTGAATGACTTGTGCCAGGTTTGGGGATACTTAAGCAACAGAAAGAAGTAGTATAGTGAATTGAAGATGGGAGAGGCAATTGCTGGAAAGCAAAGGTAATTGAATAATTAGTTGGGATTGAGGGATGTTTGTAGTGTCAGAATTCTGGGGACAAGTGACTGTAGAAAAGGGGTAGGAAGGATACGTAAGTATAAAGTAGTCAAAAATGTGTGTTTGGGACTCCAGAGATGGGTTGGTTGATATTCTGAAAATGAAGACTCGTGAAGAGAAACCATAGGTTCTGAAGAAGTAATACTTTACAAAAACTGATCAAAAATGAAATGAGAATGAGAGATTGAGTACTGTGAAATTAGGTCCTAGGAATGAAGGGAAAGGAGAATCCTATAAATTAAAACAATGGGGCAGAGGCATTGTGGGAATGGTTGGAGAAACCAGGGAAGGAAACTAAGAATTGAAGTGGTGACCTAACTGTGATGTACAGTACAAGAAATGAGAGAACTTTGATAGAAGGAGATAGATTGATGGATGCGCAATAGAAGGAGGTGTGTTAGAAGGTTACATAAAAGGTAAAATGAGGATTGTTTTGGCTTTAGAAGAAAGAAAGGTAGGACTATAACATGAATAAAGAGAATCTGGAAACTGACTCATAACAGATTATTTGGGAGAATTAATCTGGGGTATAAAATTAATGTAACATTTATTGTTGGTTTGTATCTTAGTTATTTCCTTTCTTAAAATTTCCTCTTTCAGTACACCAGCACTCTCTGTGTAAATATATAAAAATATTAAAAAAAAAAAAAAAACTATACATACTTTGTTGTTGTTAGGTGCTGTTAAGTCGGTTCTGACTCATAGTGACCCTATAGGGCAGGGTGGAACTGCCCCAGAGGGTGTCCAGGGAGCGGCTAGGTGGATTTGAACTTCCAACCTTTTAGTTAGCCGCTGAGCTCTTAACCACTATGCCATGAAGGCTCTGTGTTTTAGGTAAGTGTAGTTAGAGCTCAGCTTCTCACCTTGTCAAAACTAGTTCTCTGAAGAGGAAGAACTGGAGGGAAAATACCGCGAGAAAATAAAGGAGAAATCTACTAAATTAGAAGATTGTATAGTTGTTAGTAACTTAACTTTTTTAGTAACTTGTGCTTTTTAAATAGATGCTTTCAGCTTCGTGATTTAGGTTAACTGCTTATCTTGAAAAATAAAGTTCTTTAGGGAGATGCTTTTTTATCATAGTATTGGGAAGAGGAGAGCATTGTTTTACCTATGTGGGTGAATTTTATGTGATCTTCAAGTGGTTTATTTTCCTATATTTTTGCTTTCTGCTTCCTTTTGGTACACTGGAAAGGCCTCACCTAAGTCTAATGTTAGTGATAGGACGGACTATCTTCTCCCTTAGGATCATAAAGCTAGATGAGAGTTTAGGAGTGATCTCATCTCACTGCTTCATTTTATAGTTGAGGAAACTGAGGCCGGATAATTCTGTATTCTGTGAGGCAAGCTAGAGCAGGAGGTATTTTCTCTTGATAAATGAAAAAATTGAGGCTCAATTTTTCCTGCTCTTAGGTAGCCTAGGAACTTAGTTGTAGGGCCACTAAGGACTAGGGTGTCTTGACTCTGAGACCTATTGTGTTTTTTGGATTCATAGTTGTTATCCTGGAAATACTTAATTTGAGTTGTATAGCTTATTCCTTTGCAAATACTCTAGGATTCAATCTTTCTTTTTCCTCAGTGCTGATTTATGAAGTGTCACTTCCACAGATTTCAAAGCATCCCTCTTCATATCTCCTTCTACTCACTTTCTTTTTTCTTATCCCTGCCCCATTCCCACTTCCTCATCTATCTCTTACTCTCAAGAGAGCATATTCCCTTGATCATCTCTCTTGTTTGACTTACTCTTTCAGCTGTTTTTCATGATCTCTTGCTTTCAATTTTACTAAACTTTATTTAAGTGTGTTTCAATGTTCAGGGTGGTTTTGAGTTTATAATTTTTCTTGAGTTTTCATAATTTACATTACTCAGTTGGGTTTAGTAATTCCAGAGTATTGCTGGATAATGCAATGATAGCTGTTACTTTTTTTTTTGGATACATACTATAGGCTAGGCATTATACATTGTAGGAGTAACTTTATGTACATTATTTAATCTGCCCACAATCCTGCAAGTTAGATATTTTCCTGCATTTACAGGCGGGGAAGTTTAGACTAAAAGATTAAAGGTCACTCAACTAGTATGCAGCAGAGCCAGGATTCAGTGTAGGTTTAGTCTCTAGAATCCATTCCCTTTTCAGTACACCACTTTCTCTTGAAATGAGAAAATGAAATCTTGGTTTCATTGTTCTTGGTAGATGCCAGTAGAAGTTGCCAAAAAATGATTTTTGGACTTTTTTGGGGGTTCCTACTTGCTTTGCATCCCGGGGGCACTTGAGAGGAATATGTTTGAAAATCGCTGCTTAGTACATTTCATTACCATTAGAAAGACTAGAGAATATTAAACCCATTCTTTATTCGACACTTTTTTTTTTTTTTAATCATTAATACACGTAGTCCTAGAGTTAAGATGGGGCTCTATTCCTATGACTCCATAGTATGTCGGTTTTGACGTAAGTCGAATACTTTTTTTTTTTTTTAAGTTTTCATTATTATTTCCTTTTATTATCAGTATCTTTATAAATCCAATCTTTGTACATCTGTGAGTGAACATCTGATAATGATAACATCAGCAAATTATGTGCTGCAACATTGTACATAGTACATATTACCAATGATAAAATGTACAAAAAAAGCCGATGGTAAATGGGGTTCATTGTAACTTGAATATGATGTAAGTTAAGGACTACCTGTGCTACTTTTCTTTAGTGCTTTGTGTCTTACATTTCTCTAGTTCCTTAACTGACATGTATATATTAGTGCCTTTTTGTATTGTGTTAGGTGAACTAGGGCTTGTTTTTGTTGCTAGCTGCCGTGGCGTCTGCTTCCAACTCATGGCAGCCTCAGAGTAGAACTGCTTCATAGGGTTTTCTTGACTGTAATCTTTCTGGAAGCAGATCACCGGGCCTTTCTTCCACGGAACTGCTGGGTAGGTTTGAACCATCAGCCTTTAGATTAGCAGCCAATCCCAAACAAGTTGTGCCACCCAGGCTCCTAAACTATGGCAGGAGTTAGTATATTCTTTTAGTAAATGCAAAAACTGAGACTCAGATATTCAGTGACTTGCCTAAGATCACAAAATCATTAAGTGGCAGAAACAAGATGCAAACCCACTGTTTCATATTTTTTGTCTGTTGTTCTCCTTGCTATGCCTGGAAGTGAAGTGATATGGAAGCAGGCGATTGGTGTTTGAAATGATATAGATCTGAGTTTGGAGCCCAGTTTGAGTATTTACTTTTGGTCAAGTCTTTTAACCTCTTACAGTCTGATTTCATTTCTAAAATGAAGAT